TGGAGAGACAGCGCAGGAGGGGAAGACCCTCTATGAGATGGATTGATTCGGTGACTGGGGTAATCGGGATGGGTGTGTCAGAGGCGGTGTGGTTGGCGCAGGATAGAGCAGGGTTTAGGGTTGTTGTGCATAGGGTCGCTATGAGTCGCAAGTGACTCGACGGCACATAACAACAACAACAACAACAACAACAACACATCCAAAGTATGTGTCATTTTTGTGTCAAACTTGTGTCATGAAGGTTTTTGTCATCTTTGCCTTTAAGGAACATTCTGGCACTTTCTCCAAGACATTTGTTCATTCATTTTGCAGCCTATAGGATATTGAGTACTCTTCTTCAACACCATAGTTCAAAGGCATTTCTTTTTCTTCTGTTATTCTTATTTATCCTCCAGCTCTTAGCTGCATAGGAAGTGATTGAAAAGACCATGGCCTGAATCAGGTGCACCTTAGTCTTTGAACTGACATAATAGCTTCTTAGTATTTTGGAGAGATCCTGGCAGACGACTTTCCCAATCCTTCTTTTTATTTCTTGACTGCTGATGACTATGAATCCACGTAAGATGTTGTTGACAATTTCAGTCTTTCCCATCTATCATATTACCTATCAGCCCAGTAGTGATTGTTTTCTTAATGCTGAGATGTAATCTATATTGAAGGCTGTAGTCTTTGATCTTCTGCAGCAAGTGTTTCAAATCTTCCTCACTTTTAGCATGCAAGGTTGTATCATCTGCATAATGCAGGTTGTTGATGAGTCTTCCTCCATTCCTGATGCCACATTCTTCTTCATAAAGTCCAGCCTCCTAGATCTGTTCTACATACAGTTTGAAAAGATATGGAGAAAGGATACTGGGTGATACACTCTTTTCTTGATGTTAAACCATGCAGTTTTCCCTTGCTCTGTTTATAAAATAGCTTCCTGGTCTAAGTATAGGTTTCACATGAGCACAAATACTTTTACTCTAGTCTAACAACTGCTTGTTGGTTTATATACAGATTCTGCATGAGTGTAATTTAATGTTCTGGAATGTTCTTTCTTCTCAATGTTTTCCACAATTTATCATGGTCCACACAGCTGAATGGCTTTGCATAGTCAATAAAATACAGGTAATCTTTCTGGTAATCAAGACCCATCTGACATCAGCAATGGTTTTCTTTATTCCATTCCATGTCCTCTTCTGACTTTGTCTTGAAATTGTGACTGTTCCCTCATGATGTCCTACTGTAACCACTTTTAAATAAACTTCAGCATGATTTTAACTGTGTGGCATGTGATATTAATGGTATTCTTCAACAATTCCCACATTCTGTTGGATCTCCTTTGTCACACACATAGACATGAATTTCTTTCAGTTGGCTGGCTGAAAACTATCTTCCAAATTTCTTAACATAGATGATTGAGCATTTCTATCATTGTATTAAAACATCTCAACAGGTATCCAGTTATTTCCTGGAGCCTTGTTGTCTCCAATGTCCTTTGGCTTTCTCTCAAAAACATCAGTTCCTCATCATCTGCTACCACTTAAAACAGTTTTTTTTTTAATTTTTGTGTGTGTGTACCGTCAAGTCGGATCTGACTGGTACAGAAGGAGATTGTACCTCCTTCTCCAGCAGAGCATCTGGTGGATTCGAACCACACGCCTCTGGGATTGCAGTGCAGCTTCTTGCCACTAGGCCACCAGAGCTCGTCTCAAAACAGTTCTTGATTGGTTATTTTTGCAACAATGACTGTGAATTCCTTCCATCTTGCCCCCCATTCCTGCACCGTTCAACATTTTACCTATTGTTATTATTGTTGTTAGTAGGTGCCGTTGAGTAAGGCATTCTTTTTTTTTTTAAATTACAAAGCTACTTTTAATACTTTGGGGTGAGCCCCACAGGAATAAAAAACACTGGGAAGGGGTAACCTCCTCACCCCCAGGTGTGGCCCAGAGGGGAGGGGCTACCTGGGGGGAAGGAAGCACGAAAGGGACTCGCTGCAGACTCAGGGCAAAGGGGATGCCATCGGTGCTGGGAGCACTACAGGAGGAAACGCGAGCGTGGTGGGGCTGGCTCCAGGCACACAGGCGAAGGGCAAGAGGGTTGGACACGGAGCCACAAAGCTACTTGGGTTCCTCCTACTTCTCGTTTGCCTTTTTCTGCTTCTGTTGCATGATCTCCGAGTCCCTCTGCTTGCGGGCAGCGGCAGAAAGGCCGTCATCTGGGCGCTTTCCCTTAACCGAGTCGCTCTGCTTTTTCATATTCTGGCGGGCGAGCTCGCGCTGGTTACCGCGGGTCATGGCGACGGCAGCTGCTCTGGCCTGCCTAGATTGCGTCCCCTCGTTCTGTCTCGAGCCAGACATTCTTTATAGCCACCCTGTGAGAACAGATTTTAATCCTGCCCTCTCCTGCGCCCTCCTCACCATGTCCAATGTACTGGAGTCCACTGTTGCAGTCACATGTCAACCCATCTTGTCGGAGGTCTTCCTCTTTTTTTCCAACCCTCCACCTTACCGAGCTTAATATCCTTTTCCAAGGATTAGCCTCTCCTAGCAACATGCACAAAGTATGTGAGATGTAGCTTTGCCAACTGTGTCTCCCACAGAGCACTCTAGGTACACCTTTTCCAAGACATACCTGTTCGTGCTTTTGGAAGTCCGTGGGATATTCAGTACTCTCCTCCAAAATCACAGCTCAAAGGAATCCAGTTTTCTT